GCTGCTTTGTCAGCTTTTTTCTCCAGCTCCCACCATATGTGATATGGTGAATAAAGTTATTATTATTATTATTATTATCTCTACGACGACCTGAGGCGAAAGCGAAGCGCCGATGCATTAAAGACGGACACATGATTTACGGATGCGGCGGTACCTCCGCCCGTGGCGGACGGGTACCGCTTCGGACTATTAAACGAGAGGTCGCTGGTTCGTCGCAAGCCGATGGACAAGAGCGAAATGTCTTTTCGGGGGAATATTCGCAGATGTCACGTAAACGTTTTGGTAACTTTCTTGCCACCGGCGTGTTTTCGCTCAAGGACCGAACGATGAGAAATATAAGGCATTTGCCTTAATAAATGTGTCGGGTTACATCTAGGTGACTGAAAATATGGTCCACGTAATGTTTCAGTCGCAGTCATCCAAAATCATGCTGCAAGACTGTGACTACCAAAACGATCGACATAATCTATACGCCAGGCGCCGAGGGTCACATTCTGTTCGAACAAATCAGAGTTCGAGTGGCGCATTCGTTTCTTTACCTTTGTGCTTAATCACAATTGAAACAATACGTGCACCCTTGAGGGGTTACCACATTTAACGCTCACGCGCTTATTGAAACCGCATATCTATAATTACAGCTGTTTCTCGCTATCATTGTATTCTCCCGCACTGAGTGATGTCAGTGCGGGGGAATATACCTGACAAGGTTGCAATTGCACGCGCTTCCCACACGAGCCGCACGCGCATGACGGCCGCAAGCTCCTTTTCTGACGTAAAAACTGGTCAGAGGATTTTCGTGTTTTCTCGCGTCTAATAACATCTTCGGGGAAAACGAACTTGATATTCGCATTCACTGAATAGAAATAGTGTAGAATTCATCTGTAACTCGTTTTTTTTTTCTTTTTTCAAGAGCCTTTTAGCTTCCTTTTAAAACCGAGGTCACAGTGCACATACAGGATACAAAAAGACAGTCAGCAAACAGGAGTCACCGCAATATCCGTGGTTCGAAAGCCGCGTGCACAGTTTCTCCTTCATCTCATTGCTATGCGGAATTAGAAGCACGGATCTCGCGATGACTCGCGTTTGAATCTGTATGCAGACGGTCGTTTGTATAGTGTATGAGTAGGGTGACTCCGGCTTTACGCAAAACCCGGCGGTCAGCGTTGTTTCTTTTATTTTATCGGAGATATGGGCCTAAGGTATCAAACTGCCAAGCTTCTCATTTGCGTGCCGACAGCAGCGGATGTTTTCGATTCCTTCAGGGGCTAATTTGAAAATGTGTCTCCCACCAAACAAGTATGAAGTTTCCAGGACCGAAAGAAGTTATTGGAAAGATGCAATAAAAAGTCACAAGAGGTTTGATTTGATAAAAAAGGGGCAGTCAAAAGTCGGAGTCTCAAGATGCGGGATTGACGATCGCTGTAAAGGGAATTCACTAGAAATACTTCTTTTCATCGTCTTCATGTCCTTCTGTTTCTCGTCCACTTGCAGACAGTATATTTCTGCGCGTCGTCTGCTATCCCACTGATCTCGAAGACGTTCATGAAGTCAAACTTCAATGATCAGATGCTAAAAGAAAACACCTGAAATAAAATTAGACTCCAATACTCGGATCTGCGCTTCGGCCCCAGCGTAGGAGGTCTCGAAATTGTATTCTCAGTAGGTCAACGGGGGTCTTCTGCGCAGACGTGCGGCGTTATATGCTCGTGAGGTAGACCACACCTGTATTTTACCCTGTCGCACTTAGTGCCTATATAAAAAAATAAAAAATTCGCTGTAACGTGCGAATGCAAGTATATTCAAAGAGGTAACTGCGACGCCTTATTTAATCCTAATGTATTCTTATCTATCTTGTACATACGTATCTTGCGCTATATGTGAAGAAACCATCGCGAATGTCCGCTTGGAGAGTGACACATTAAAATATAACTGTAATACGTCACAGCCTGAGTTCACGCGATATCATGACATCATGAAATACCGTGACGTCTCATGACAGCATAACATCAAGTAACTATGATGTCACGGTGTCATGGTACGATAGCGACGACGGACAGCCTTGATAAATTCAAGCGGTTGGAAGCATAAAGTTATTATAGTGCACGCTAGATGTTCAATCGGGGGTGCTAGTGTGCCGTTGGAGATTGACGCAGACAGCAGACTCTCGAAAGTTGACTTCCCGTAATGCATTTCTAAGAAAAAAGAGGAGTGCATTTTCTCCCTGTGCTTCTTCACAATAGCAAATATAACGAATAATTCGTACGTGACTGATTGCTTGGAGCATTTTTAAGTCACGCAAACGAAATTAGAGGACAAAATTATGTCACCTGACCTGGCGTCGCATGGTCTATTGTCACGTGTGAGAACCGGAGAAGAGAAAGAAGTGGATATCTGCAATTTTTGTGACAAACAAGGGGAAGGAAAAGGGAAGAGGAAGACGACTACCTGACGGACAGCGAGGGCGAACGTGTTTGGAAGAGCTCCCCAAGACCCGGGGGACGGTTTGGGCTGCGCTCCGAAAACCGACCCTACCCGTAACCGGCTACGCTCCGAGATTCGGTCGTCGCTACGGACCAGACATCGTCCAGGACAGGACCCATCGTGGCACCGTCCGATCAAAAGGTCGTGAGTGACTTGACAACGGAGACTCGGGATTTTGGAAGGGACCGAACGTGACACTCGTCCTTGTGGTCGTTTTTTTTTTTCTTTTTGAGGTATACCTTGACTATCACAAATTTCTTCTTTTTTTTTTTTTTCTTTCTTTCTTAAAAGTTCTGTTAAATACGTATATATAAATTTTTTTCTTCTCGTTATCGTCGTCTCGCCTCATTATTTCTCGTGCTGTGCCGGCGAACCTGACAATATGCGAGCCTGCCAGGATGCCCTTAACTTGATCACGTCGGCCGGGACGCATGCGGATTGGTGCGGCCAAGCGAGAACGATATGGACTCCAAGAGATTAATTGCGGCGGGGGAAAAGTTAGGCTACGTTGGTGCCGAACTAAAGAAGTGGGTAGAGGAAGGAAGAGCTGCAATGAGGGAGGATAGAGCATTGGCCAGACAAGAGCGCGAGGCTGAATGCGCCAGGTTAGATAGGAGCGAGAAATATTGCAGCTTAAGCTAGCAATACAAGAAGGTGCTGTAGACGGTCACGAGAGAAATCGGGGTGCTGGCGAAGGTGCGACAAGCGCTCCGGTGCACCACATCAGCCCGCACAAATTTATTCCGCAATCTAAAGAAGGTAGAGATGACTTAGATGCGTATCTCACGAGATTCGAACGCACAGCGGCGGGACTTGGGTGGCCCCGGGAAAAATGGGCAACCACGTTGAGTTTATGCTTGACTGGCGAAGCGTTAACGGTAGTTGGCCGCCTATCCCCTGAAGACGCGCTAGACTATTCACGAACAAAATGGCGCTGATGCAGCGATTTTGTTACACCAAGGAGGTGTATAGAGAACGGTTTCGAAAGGCAAAACCCGAAGAGGGAGAAACCAGAAGACAGTTTGCCGCCCGGCTAGCGGGATATGTCGACCAATGGATTGAAATATCAGGCGTAGAACGGACGTTCGAGGCTCTCCGAGACAGAGTAGTGGTTGAGCAGTTTCTGCTGACGTGCTCTAATCGTTTGTCAGTGTTTCTTCGGGAACGAGACTGCCAAACTTTGGATGAGGTAGCTTCCAAAGCCGACCTATTCCTGGAAGCCCAGACTCAGACCGGTGCAAGCAAAACGAAGACTGATGAGCTGACAAAGAAGCCGAGTACGACATTCATGGGCAAAGGGGTGAGTAGTGAGGGCAGGAAGGACGTGCGGTGCTTCCTCGGTAACAAAGCTGGTCCCAAGGCGGAGAATTGCCGCAGCCAACCGTCCACGTCCAGACTGGCGACCTGTTGGAATTGTGGCAAAACTGAACACCGAGCAAATAATTGCGGGGCGAGACCGAACGACCGACCCTAGGCTTCTTGCCTGTGGATTGAACAACGCGACGAGTCGGCGGTCGAGATCAATGCAGGTTACATTACGCTTGAGAATGGCGTCAAGATCCCGGTGGTCAACGTGGCGGTGGGACGAGCGCCGAAGTTCCTGGTAGAAAATATGCCAGTAGTGGAGGGACGTCTAGGTGAAAAGAGGATAACGGTCTTGAGGGACACAGGGTGCAACACTGTCGTCGTCCGAAAAGAATTGGTTTCTCCTGAAGCGATGACAGGAGCATCGAGTACGGTGTTTCTCCTGGACAGGACAGTGAGGTATCTACCGGAGGCGGTAATGGTGGTGAAGACGCCGTATTTCTCTGGAAGTGTAGTAGCGAAATGCGTAAGCAATCCCTTGTACGACCTAGTGCTTGGGAACGTGCCGATGGTCTGAGGAGTTAACGATCCTGATCCAGGGTGGAATGATGACGAGGAGAAAGGAATGGTTAAAACTGCGACGACGCAGGCGTTGACTGAAGAGAGCGGGCATCCGAAGCGAGAGGGAATGGCGTGAAAAAGTCAGGATAGCCCCTTAGAACAATTTCAAGCGGCGACACAAAGCCCGTTACCACGCGACGAGGAGCCAGTGTCAGTCGCCAACGCGGTGGCGACAGCGAAAAGACGCGAATTGGTACAGCAGCAGACCAGTCTAAGAGTTCCGCAGGTTTCACCTCTTGACGCTACGGCTGAAGAGATGCTGCGAAAAAAGAAAATGACGATAGCCTTAAGAAGTGTTTCACCAGCATCGGTAAGGTAATTTTCAAACACTCGGGTAGAACTAAGTACAAGTTATTTGTAAAGGATGAGTTTCTGTATAGAAGTTGCAGATACAGCTCGAGAAGAGTCACTGATCAGCTGGTCCTACCGGAGAAGTTCAGGCGAACAGTAGTTGCCATAGCACACGATGGCATAATATCCGGCCATCAGGGGATGAGCAATACAGTAGAATCGGTCCCGGAGGAGTTTGTCTGGCCAGGCATGCAAAGTGAGGTCCGAACGTATGTGCGATCCTGCGACGTGTGCCAACGCACCGTACCCAAAGGAAGAGTGGGCAAAGTACCCTTGGGAAATATGCCAACCATAGCGATACCCTTCCAAAGAGTGGCCATCGACATCATAGGTCCCATTGCTCCCACGTCTGATATGGGGAAGAGGTACATCTTGACTATGGTTGACGCCGCCACTCGATATCCAGATGCGGTTGCTTTAAGGACAATTGGTACTCCTGAAGTGGCAGAGGCGCTGATGGACATGTTTCCACGGTACGGCCTGCCGGTGGAAATGTTCAGCTATCGAGGGGTCAAATTTTACATCCGAGGTAATGAAGGAGGTGGGCCGGTTGCTGTCAATGAAACATCTGCTAGCGACACCTTACCATCCCATGGGTAACGGCCTTGTGGAAAGGTTCAATGGCACCATCAAACAGATGCTAAAAAGAATGTACCAGGAAAGACCAAGAGATTGGGACCGCTACTTACCCGCGCTACTTTTTGCTTACCGAGAAGTGCAGCAGGCAAGCTTGAGATTCTCCCCATTTGAGCTTTTGTACGGAATGAGAGTACGGGGACCGTTGACCGTTATGAGAGAGGTATGGTCCAACGAGGCGATGGATGAGGAAACGAAGACTTCATATGGATATGCTTGGGAGAAGAGCGTGTTGGTTTAAGTCATGGATGAAGAAAGAATAAAACAATTAAAACAGGGAACACACAACCACATCTTTCATCTTTCAAGTTGAAAGATGTGGTTGAGTTGTTCCTGTTTTAATTGTTTTATTCTTTCTTCATCCATGTCATATGGATATGTTTTGGAATTAAGAGAGAAACTCGAGAAGACGTGTGAGATGGTCCATCGTTGCCTGGAGGATGCCAAGAAAAAACACAAGGGCTATTACGACCAGAAGCGGGTCAAACAAGAAATCAAGACTGGGGACAGGGCTCTGAAACTCTTTCCCAGCGACAACAACAAGCTGCTCATGCAGTGCAAGGGGCCCTTTGAGGTGACTGCTAGAAGAAACGAGGTACACTACGAGCTAGAGGTCGGGGGAAAGAAGAGGGTGTTCCATGTGAACATGCTGAAGAGGTAGGAAGAAAGGGAAGAAAAGGAGCATCCTATCATGAGCTGTGGGTTAGCGACACTTGGCGAGGGTGACGACACTAATGGAGACGAAAGCGATGCGATCCCAACCATAGCACTAGCGAAACATCAGGATAGGCGAGATGTGGTCACCAATATGGGATTGGACTCAGAAAAGAAGCGACAAGTGTTATCCTTGCTCGAAGAGTATGAGGACATATTCTCAGATATACCAGGGAAAACAGACCTCATCAAGTGCGACCTCAAGTTGACTAAAGGAACCCCGGTGCACACCAAACCGTATCCTTTACCATTAAACGTACAGAGGCTGTCGGAGGTAGAGATAGCCCAGATGTTGCAAATGGGCGTCATTGAGAAATCGACATCACCGTACATTGCGCCATTAGTAATGGTTAAGAAATCAGATGGCTCGAACAGATTTTGCATAGATTTCAGACGGCTCAACAGTGTACTGATATCAGATGCGGAGCCTATACCGAGGGTGAACGTCACAATCGCGATGGTAGGGCACAAGAAGTTCTTTTCTAAGCTACACTTGTCGAAGGGATACTGGCAAATCCCCATGGAGGAAGAGTTCAAAGAAAATACCGCGTTTTCTTCATCAAGCGGGTTGTATTAGTTCAACTTTATGCCGTTTGGTTTGAAAACGGCAGCAGCAACTTTCACAAAGTTGATGCGGAAGTTGCTGGAAGGGGTGCCCAACACCTATCATTACATAGACGATGTACTGTTAGCAACAGACTCATGGGAAGAGCATCTTGCTACCCTAAGAGAAATCATGGGCAGGGTACACAAGGCCGGGATGACTGCCAAACCAAATAAGTGTGAAATTGGTTTTGAGGAAGTTAACTTCTTGGGGCACAAACTGGGACTGGGACGAATAGCTCCGAACCAAGATGTCCTGACAAAAATACAGGACGCACCCAGACCAATTACCAAGCGGCAAGTCAGGTCATTTCTGGGCTGACTGGGTTTTACCGGGCATTTATTCCGAACTACGCAGAGGTAGCATATCCTCTGACAGAGCTGACACGGAAAGGTGCTCGCAATGAGGTAGAGTGGGACCGCGAGCAGGAAGAGGCATTCACCCGCCTGAAGGAGTTACTGTCTCAACTACCTATCCTTATGGCACCCGACCTGAGCATGGAATTCGTACTGCGTACGGACGCTTCGAACACTAGTTTGGGGGCGGTGCTTCTGCAAGAAAAAGATGGCGTACTACATCCGGTGGCCTACCCGAGTAGAAGGCTCAGTAAGGCAGAAAGGAATTATGCCACCATCGAGCAGGAGTGCTTGGCTCTAGTATGGGCTATCGGAAGGTTCACGCTTTATTTGTATGGCAGACACTTCCGTGTTCAAACCGACCACCAACCACTGGAGTTCTTAAATAAGGCCTAACTCTCTAACCGGCGTGTGATGACATGGAGCATGAAGCTGCAAGATTATTGTTTTCATGTCGAATATATCAAGGGAAGCAAAAATGTGGGGGCCGACTACTTAAGTCGGATTTAAACAAGAAACCGGCCTTTGGATAACGATTAGTGATTAGTGCGTCTTAGTATATGGCGTATCCGGTCGCAGAAAGACTCAGACGGCGCTCGAGTTACTTGTTTTGAGATGCGAATAACATAAAACTTCTTATTATTTGTTGGGAATGGGTGAGGCAATGCGAGGTCAAGTGACTCGATTTTTTTTGTTGACCCCATAGAAAGTTCGTTGTGTTTAGTGCGCGAGCGTGAAGTGACGAAACAGTGTGACTCTTAGATAGGTTAAATAGTGTTGATAACTGTTGACACGCGAGCACTTTGGAAATGAGTGCGTGGTTTTTCTAGAACGTCAGTGCCGAGAGCCTGTGTGAGTGCGGCGCAAACGTCGAAGAGGAGGATGTGAATAGCAACAGAGTTTAATAAGAGCGGACCTTCAAGATGTTTTTTTTTTCGAGTCCAAGGATGAAGTAGTTCAACAATGTACTTCTTAGTGTAGGGGGGTATTGTCACGTGTGAGAACCGGAGAAGAGAAAGAAGAGGATATCTGCAAATTTCGGGAAAAGAAAGGGGAAGGAAAAGGAAAGAAGAAGACGACTACCCGACGGACAGCGAGGGCGGACGTGTTTGGAAGAGCTCCGCAAGACCCGGGGGACGGTTTAGGCTGCGCTCCGAAAACCGACCCTACCCGTAACCGGCTACGCTCCGAGATTTGGTCGTCGCTACAGATCAGACATCGTCCAGGACAGGACCCATCGTGGCACCGTCCGATCAAAAAGTCGTGAGTGACTTGACAACGGAGACTCGGGATTTCGGAAGGGACCGAACGTGACACTCGTCCTTGTGGTCTTTTTCTTTTTTTTTTCTTTTTGAGCTATACCTTGACTATTACCAATTTCCTTTTTTTCTTTCTTTCTTATAAGTTTTGTTAAATACGTATATATATATATTTTTTTTTCTTCTCGTTATCGTCGTCTCGCCTCATTATTTCGTGTGCTGTGCCGGGCGAACGTGACACCTATGCACAATTCGGTTTTTCGCTAAATGTAGCGGGGAAATTGATGTCACCGGGGCTGACCGTCACGGGACCCATACAACAATTCAATTTCTCCGCTAATTTTGTAGGGGGAATTTAATAAAAATAAAGGTTGCTCACTTCCCTGAACGACGATGTAATGTGTTCTAATCAACTTTAAACCATCGTACCTTTAATAGTGCATTTCATGCATCGTGGGACTACCAGTATTTTACACTCAGAAGTTTCGTGCCGTCAGTGTTAAATGTTAACGTTTTAGTCGCCGGAAGTGTGTTCGCGAGACGGAGAAAACTTAGAGGTTTCGGTGCACTGGGAATGGGTTTCCAAAGTGCAGCCATGTCTCGTTAATACGCATCCCGTTAATATGAGTATCCCGTTATGTACAATCATTTTCCTGGGGGAACTAAGCAAATATATACGTTTTTGTGACGTTATTGTGAACGGCTCATACTCCGTAGAGTATTGGACGGAAACGAAATGCCTAAATTACCGAGACATGAGAGCAGTACTTAATTAAGGAGATGGAGTTTCAAATCCAATCAAGCAAGTCCCTGCTTCGTCTTTTTCAGTCGTCGTTAGACGATTGGGACTGTCCGTTCGAATTTAATAGTCAGCCTCGATTATCAGCGCGCCATCTCGAAACTTGGAGATTCATTAGCACAGGTGCATGCAACGCCTCCCAGCACTAATCGAAAACAACCGGGAACAACCAGCGTGTCCCCCTAAACGATTGCAACGCGAAGTTGGATAATTGGTTGTTCCACTCACAACGCATTTAACGTTGCCGGCGCAAGACAGATTGTCATTCTGGGAGCCACAATCAGCGTATGTTGACATTAATCTTCTCTAACTTCAGGAAACAACTTAACTTTTTTAGATGAGTCGGGTTCCGAAAACAGGGTTCCCTGTGTTCGGAGCTCATTTTTCAACAAATTCGGATGTTGTTTTACGGAGGTTTTTTTTATTGGTTAGATGCTCAGTTCTTTAGAATATTAATCTTAAATTTGCCGGGTTTTCTATTTTTTAAATATAAAAAAGGAAGACCATTACAATTCTGTGTTATGCGAAATTAGAGAGCAGCTCTTGAGGAGGAGGAGACGAGGGTACGGGTGAGAAGGTATTGCCACCCTCCCCCTCCGTACCCTACCCTTCTCCTCTCCACTTCCCTCCCATTTAGCGCGCAAGTTTGTCTAAATTTGAGGCTAATTTTTGCGGAAAATTTTTTCCCGCTAAATTTAGTAAAACATTTCCCCACTAACTTTAGCGGGGAAACGTACCATAATGCAACGAGCGCGGTTACGCCGATGCCGACTCCACTTAAGATAAGATAAGATAAGATAAGTTTATTTGATTTCAGAAAAAACTCTCATACAATCCAGCCCGCTTAAGCGTAGGTACGCTTGTATGCGGGACATGGCAGTACAGACTTTTTCATCATGTAGACACAAATGATGGTTAAATGTAAGTAAAACATGAAAGAAACATTCAAAATAGCACAGTAAACAAGGAACTTTACAAGTAGATAATTCTCCTGTGAACTAAAACCCAGTTCGACAATAACAATCAATCAATGGTTACAAAAGAAACATTGTGAATTTAAACACATAATGACAAGAATCAACGCGTATGCAACGAGATACACTCGATAGAAAACACTAAGCTTTTACATAATACCTCATTGTTCAGAATTTCAATTTGACAAAAAACACCACTCTTTAATTTTTTTATACATCTGCCTCTTAGATGACAGGTTTAGGATGTCCTTA